CACCCTCCCGTGAGCCCCTTATTCAGAGACGCACAAACACACAGACACACAGACTCAGCAGCACATGGCCTTACCTTCTTTGCCTTCAGAGTGTTTCAGAGGCTGCAGGGCTGCAAAAGAGCAAGGGACACGTGGTAAGGGGGAGCCAGGGAGAGCGGTGGGGCAGGGGCCAGGTGGGGGTGAGGGCCTGGTAGGACCGGGAGGGAGGACAGGAGGGGGACAACACCAGGGAAGGGGTACTAGGATGCCGGCCCAAACCCCAGCTCTATTCCGCAGCTTGACCCTCACCTCTCTGGGTCTCAGTTTTCTGCATCTATACAATGGGGACAAGTAGCCAGCCCCCCAGTGGGCTGGAGATTCAGAAGGGCACTGAGTCCACTCTACACGGGGAGGGGAGTGAGGGATGAAAGGAAGCTGGCAGGTGTGCAGGTATCCCTGGGGGGTCCAAGACCATGTGGCACCGAGACTGACCAAGCCTTCAGCCCACCAGCTTCTCCCGCTCCCTCCCTTCTGCCTCTGAGTGTGAAAAATGAGGTCTGATCCCAGAGCGGTCTCTGGGCCTGCCACACTGGCACCAGCAGGCAGAGAATTAATTGGCATAATTTATAGCAGTCCCCAGGTGTCAACCTCCTGCCAGGCCTTCTGTGGGGGTGGGGAGGGAACCGGTGTCAACTGGAACATCCAAAATGGCTCAGCTGAAGCCAGCCTCACCCAGTCCAGGATGCCCTGGAAGTGAGGCCCCGGGTGGTCACAGGGCACAGAGCCTGAGCAACCCCCAAGCTGGGCCCAGTTTTCTGTGCTGTGCCCTTTGCAAAGCACCTCCCTCTGCAGTCACCCAAGAGCCCATCAAAGCAGCCCGCTAGTGCCATCAGAGCAGGGGCAGGGGGACACTTTACAGATAGGAAACTGTAAGCCCAGAGGGGCAAAGTCCCATGCCCAAAGGGACAAAGCCTCTAACTAGATGGGATTGTCCTACGCTATGTGTCCAACAGCGACAGGACACCAGCGTGTTAAGCACTTATTAAGCACCAGCTATGGCACCAGGTCCTTTCTATCTGTTATCTCATTTAATTTAACCCTAACAACCCATGAACCTGTTAGTATGCCCATTTTACATATGAGGAAGCTGAGGCCAGAGAGGCAAAGTAGCTTACTCAAGGCCACTCAATTTACATGGATGGAGCTGGAATTTATAAACCCAGCCTGCCCTGTCTCCCAAGCCCACTGAGAAAGACACCTAGAAGACTTCAAGGAAGCCACCAGATGTCACAGTGCAGGGCTAGTCAGGTAAACTTGGTCCTGGCAGACGGGTAAGGCTGGCAGGAGAACGAAGCTGCACCTGGGGAGTTGGGAGACCCACTCACCTCCAGGCCTTGCTCGGAGCACACAAGACTCACGGGGGGAAGGCCTCTGACCAGATGATATGCTTCATTCAAACCCTACAGCACATCTGTTCCTGCACATCCTGGAGTTCTCGACCCTGGCCCTGGTGTCCTCACCCCAGTCCCTAGAGTCCTCGTCCCCGACCCTGGAGTCCTTGCCCCTGTCCCTGGTATCCTCACCCCCATCCCTGGAGTCCTTGCCCCATCCCTAGTGACCTCACCCCTGTCGGCGGTATCTATGCTCCCATCCCTGGAGTCCTCGTCCCTGTCCCTGATATTCTCAACCCTGTTCCTGGAGTCCTCACCCCCAGCCCTAGTGTCCTCACCCCCATCTGTGGTATGCATGCCCCCGTCCCTGAAGTCCTTGCCTCTGTCCCTGGAGTCCTTGCCCAGTCCCTGGTATCCTCGCCCCTGTCCCTGCATCCTCCCCCAGCCAAGGGGACAATTCCACACTTAGACTCACCCGTCTTGGATCCTTCTCCCTCCACATCCTGGTCCTCAGCTCCTGAAAGGCAAGAACTCAGTGTGAGCAGTTTCACCCCTGCATTTCCTGTCTAGGCTGTGAGGCAAGTAATGGGGCCTGAACGGGCCTCTGGCCCAAAGGCTGGACCCAGCGTTGGTGCCTGAGATCAGCGCCAAGCCTGTGACAGGATGAAAGGTCCCAGCCCACAGTCTCCGCATACCCAGCCACGGACCCTCCCATCCGCCACCCTCCCATCCCCAACCCATCTGCTTGCTCAGGGCCCTGCCTACCAGCCCCCGCCTTCCAGCAGACTCACTTCCTACCCCCACTGCACAGGGACTTGCCTGTCCACCAACAGACCACTGTCCCCTCCCTCCTGACGTGTGGTCACCCCCTGGCGTCTGGTGACCCGTTCACCCTCCGTGCCTTTGTTTACCCATGTGCCACCCTGAAGTCAACTCACCCACTCAATGTCCTCAGGCCCACTGGCCAATCCCCGATGCCCAGTCGGACTGGGTCTGGGCCCTGCACACGGTACCTGCTTCAGACTCCCAGCCCAAGGCAGACATGCTCCCACCAGCGACACACATACCCCAAAAGGCCACGTGTGTGCATGTCCCTGCTCTAACCTGCTCTCATGCAGACACACTCCCATGGCTCATCCTGCCACAGGCGTGCCTGGCTGCAAACACACCATCCCCTCGGGGCGCTCGGCCTTGCACTCATACCCACACACTTCCAGCCGCATCTGCACAGGGACAGGCAGGCCTACACCTGTTCATGCCCGCAGGACATGGACTCAAGCCCACACACATACAACCTGGCCCCATGTGCACAGTCACACTGTCACTAGAAAGTGACGCCCTTGCTGTCAGCCACAGCAGCGTCCCCGAGACGCGCGTGCGTACACACACCCTCCTCCTGCCCATCTTACTTACCTGCACGCTCCTCCTCACAGCTCTGCCTGATCTTCCTCCAGCACACAAAGGCTAAGGCCACCAGCAGTACCACGAGACACACAGAAAGCCCCACGGTCACCCACAGGGCCTCCGGGGGGAACGTCACAGGCTGCCCTGGGAGGGGAAAGGGGAGAACAAGGCGGTCATGCCTGGCCCCCATGGTCCTAGCGACAGCACCGTCTGGCTCCAAGGTGTGAAGAGGGATGCCCTCCCTCCCTGGGTGCCCACACTATTAATAAAGCTCATGTGTGTTCCCACTGTCCCTTTTCCACACACCTGCCAAACCTGTGGCTGAACTAGGGAGGGCTGAAGACTCTGTAGTTGTATGGTGCTCAAGAACCTTCTATGGCTCCCTACTGACTTTAGAATAATTCTCAAGTTTCTTAGAATAATTCAAGGACCTCCAGAATCCAGCTGCTGCTCACCCTCCCCCAGCCTGTCTTTCTGATCTCACAACAGGAACCTCTGCCCCAGCAAACTGGAGTCCTAACAATTCTCTGCAGAAATTACCGGCTCCTTCCAGCCTCTCAGTACCATGTCTGTCAGTTTCCCCTCCCAAAAAAGTGCTCCCTACCTCTCCACCTAGTTCAGTAGTCACCTCCTTGGGAGGCCTTCCCTGATGACTCCAGACCCGCCCAATGAACATCTCTTCCTGTGGACCAGGTGCCCGGAAACTATGGCCCATGGGTCAAATCTGGCTTATGGCCCATCTCCATCCAGTCCATGAACTGGTTTTGGCTTTTCCATTTTTCCAGGGTGATCGAAAACAGAGGAGAGGAGGAGGAGGAACAGTAGGAGAAGAAACAGCCAGAGAGACGGCAGGTAGCCCACAAGCCTGAAAGTTACTCCCAGGCCCTCTGCAAAAAATGACTGCTGAGTCCTGTGTATAACGAGGATGCTGGAGTGAGGGTTCTGAGCTATGCTGCCCAGGCTTGTCTCGAACTCCTGGCCTTAAGCAATCCTCTTGCCTCAGCCCCTAAAAAGGGCAGGGATTACAGGCATAAGCCACCATGCTGGACTTGGATTTTTGGGGAAGATGAGGTCTCGCTATGTTGCCTTCACCGATTTTGAACTCCTGGCCTTAAGTGATCCACCTGCCTCAGCATCCCAAAGTTCTGGGATTACAGGTGTGAGCCCCTGTGCCCAGCATAGAGGAATATTTCTACGAAGCACAAAGACCCCTCCTGTTAGATATCTCATGCCAAGAAGGATGGCGTTAAGGCGTCTGAGCCTGGGTCAGGGCCAGCAGCTGTTCTGAGCACAGCCCTTCAAGGCTCTGTCACAGTCCCTGGACCCACACTGGGTCCTGGGCAGAGGCCTTGAGGGAAAAAAAGCATAGTAAAAACTGTGCTGCTTTCCTTTGCTCTCTGGGGACAGCGAGTGCCCAGGGCCTCAGTGGCCTGTGCGGAGGCCCCGTCAAGGCATTGTGCAGTGCCATGAACCTTTGGGTGGCAGAGGCCCACTCAGACACACCTCAGGCAGGGATCTGCAGCATATGTTACTTTCCACCGCTGCTCTGGACACAGGAAGCAAAGGGACCCATTACCCCAATGGGAAAGGGGCCAGCAGCTGCCACGGTGGCCAGGAGGGCCCATCCCCAGAGCACACATGAGAAACCCCTGGACATCCCAGCATGGGGTTCAGGCCACAGAGGAGCCACGGAGACACTCAGGGGAGGTTCTCCTCTATGTCCCCCAGGCAGGTGTTGGTTCCTGGAACACGGGTCAGACTCACCCCTATCTACGAGGAGAAGATAGATTTGGGGCTTGGACCACATCTTCAGCCCCCACCTCCAGGGCCTGCTCCATAATGCCCCCTCTGCAGAGAGGCCCGGACAGCACATTGACCTCCCTAACTTCTATCAGGTGTGGGAGGCCAGCTGGAGGCCCGGCAGTCTGAATCCCAGGATGTCTAGTGAAATGCAGGCCAAGGGCTGCAAAGTAGGCCAGGCCTGTGCTGACAGAAACAGGAAGCTTGCTGGGAGTGGGAAGGGGGGTACAAGGATGGGGGGCTGGGGAGGCAGAAGGTAGGGGGAATGCAGGAGGACAAAGCTGGACTAGGGTCCTGGGTCATCCGCTCCCTGCAGGGTACCAGGGATGAGTTTCAAGAGGAAACGAACTTTCCCAAGTGACACACAGATGACTGCATTTGTTATCCGGTTTGCAAAGAGGGGCCAGACCCCCGAAAGAGGCAGAGCTGTGAACTTGGGAAGGTTCCCTTTTCTCTCTAGACCTCAGTTTTCTCATCAGTAAAATGGAAACAAGGGCCTACATGAGATCCCTTTCAATGTCAGCTACTGAAGCTTAAAACAGAGAATTATCTCTCAGTGGGGTAAAAGCTCTCCTGGTGGTCACATTGCTAAGTGTGACCCCTTGGACACAGCATCACAAATATCCAGCCCAGCCCAACATGCAAATGACCACAGTCTCCTTATACTTCAACCCCTTATCAGCTCCCACGTGGCCCTGAAGGCTACCTGATCACCACCCCCACTCTCAGAAAGCCTCATGTTCTCTGACAAGATCACTCTACTTTGTATTTATTTTCTATTAGTACCGTTTTAACTACCATACCCTATGCTATTCTCTAGAAAGTCAAAGAGGTGACACAGAACATTTCAAGAGCCCAAGGCAGGCCACTGTCTTGCTAAGCTATAGTCTGGCCCTGTGTTCTTTGACCTACGACCAGGCTGTGTTTTCCTGAGCTTTGACTCCCTCCCCTAACTTGGGGAAGTGAATCACCCCTACCTCCCCCATTCACCGTTGCTTTGTTAAACTCTGGTGTGTCCACATAGTTCTTTGAACTGTGGCCGCCATGTTTCTTGGATTCGGCCCCTCCCCTACCTTGGGGAGATCAATCTCCTCTCTCTCTCTCTCTCTCTCCCTTCCTCATTTGGTTTCTAAATAAACTATATTTTCTAATCTAAAAAAATAAAAAAATAAATAACCCAGGGCAGTGACTCCCTCACAGAAAGCCCAGACCTAGGGGGTCTCCAGAAGAGAGTAGGCTTAGTCTTGGGAAGGTGGTGGGCACAGGGAACACAGCCTTTCCAGAAGATAACACCTAACAGAAAAGCAGGAATGAGCCCAAATTCCTAGAAGTGAAAGTCATGGGAAAAGAAAGGAGGAGGCCAGGCATAGTGCCTCATGCCTGTAATCCTAACACTTCGGGAGGCCAAGGCGGGAAGACTGCTTGGGCTCAGGAGATCGAGATCAGCCTGGGCAACATAGCAAGATCTCGTCTCTACAAAAAAGAAAGGAAAAAAGAAAAAGATTAGCCAGGTGATACTGGGGAGGCTGAGGCAGAAGGATCACCGGAGCCCAGGAGGTCAAGGCTGCAGTGAGCCATGATCACTGCACACCAGCTTGGGCAAGAGTGACACCCTGACAAAAAAAAA